TTTATCTTAGGTCCATTTACAGCTCTGCTTCCAGACATATTAGGCCAAGATGAAATAATGATTGCTCCGTCTTCATGCCCTCTGATAACTTTCAGATCATAGCAGACATGGTCAATATCTGTTTGTGAGAAACATTTATCTAACTGCAAATCCTGGCTTTATTCAGTGTATTGCCAAGTTTAGAGGCTTAAATCCCAATGTGGCCTGTCTAATGAAGAAGAAAATATTGCCTTACGTATTGTTTATAACAGTTCTTTGCTAATTTTTGTGATGTGTCTGTGCAATGGTCAAGGTTATCATCAAGACATTTATTGTCTCCTTTTTTTCGTCTCTTTTCTATCACATTTTTTATTTTTGAAATTTTTATTCCAAGAAACTAATAAAATATAAAAACTACATTTACTTTATGTATTTTCAACGATTCGTAAAATGTTAAATCATAGAAAAGTTCAGTAAATTTGCAAAATATGAGATGGTGACAGTTATTGTAGTCTCTCTGGCAACAAGTATAATGTTTGTATGACCGACCTGACTTACCATGGTTGTACCATACCCTTTTCACACTTTTTTTTAATTATCGTTTCAATAGCGTTTTTTTATATAAAAATAGTTACAATTTTCTTATTTGTACAATTCGATCCCTATATGCTAAAATCCTAAGCATTTCTTCGATTTGTCACAAACTGATTAGTAGCCATTTCAAATCTTAATGTTCACCATCTAAAATTTATGAATAGTTTAACTTTTACATTGACATCGACTGTGAATATCCTTAAAAATGATTGTAACTATATTTTGTCTTTATTCGATGATACTTTAAAGTACTTTCTGAAATTGTCATAATAGTTTTAGTACAGTACTTTCAAAGAGCCAAAACAGATACGGCCTTTTATGTTTATTCTATTGTAAAATGTTTTCTTTTTTTGTTTATTCTAAATGTTTTTATCTTTGTTTAACGTCAATTGTATATAATCAAACTCTGTAGACTCGTGTCTATATTGTTCCTTAGGGAACACTCGTATCCTTCTGTCTCAACAAAATAGTGTCTGTTTTCACTAATATGTTTTCATTATAATTGTTGTCTTTTGTTTGGTTTTCAGTCAAGAATCATCTTTTGTACTGTTATTAGTATGCTTTTATTCCAATTGTTTTCGTATTTATTGTTTTCTTTACTCGGCCTTTCCACTAAATTTCATTTTGTTGTTGTAATTGAAAGTTGTGTTCTGGGATTGTTCAACGTAATCATGATTTGCCCTCAATGCTATTTGCATATTTCAAATATAAATATTCATCAGATGTGTTCTAAATTGCTTTTTAATACGTTTGCTTTCTAAAATCTGTGATATGAGAAACCAAGTTACGCATACAAAATCGAGTTAATATTTTCAAAGAAACAATAGTGTAATTTACAGGAAACAATTTGGACTCAGTGAAAATTGCTTTCTTCTTGCAAAGGAGCCAATAAAACAGGTGCGCATAGCAGTGCATATGCGTATGATAAATATATAGATTGCAACTGCCAATATATTTGATTTTATGTAACTTCAAGAGTTCAATGGCTTACAACTTAACTTGGATGTAAAGAATAATGTACATAAAGTTTACCAGTTGCAAATGTTTAAAATAACGGCATCCTATTTTAAAATTAAAGTGTTCATGGGTACCGCAAACGACATAACTGTTCTATGTAAAAATTTAGAATTAGAACTTGGATGTTGCAAGCATACTAACCAAATCGAGGAAGATATTCTAGTAGAACAACGCCTTCGAGTATGTTAAATGCACTTAAAGAATATCTGAATTACTTAATACCTTAAAATAATTTTCCATTTACATTGCAAATAACGGTCTTTATAAAAAAGAAGCATAATTAAGATTATGTTAAAATATTGTTAAAATGGATCGGTCTACAATGGGTGGATAATAAACAAACAACAATAGAAATGTATCATTTGGATATTCTTTAAAAAATATTTCTTGTAAAAGAAATGATTATAAAATTCTATGTGATTTACTATGATCATTTATATGATGAATAATATTTTGTTCTAGAACAATTTATCTGCGCTATATAAAGATATGACACATCGAATCACATACATTAGTTCGTGGTAATTTGTCTTACATAACACTGACTACTTTCAACATAACTATTTATGGTATAACAGACCTTCCATTATAAATCAATTCACCTGAGAATTTATAATTTTCGTGATGTGTTCCTCCTTGGGTGTACGTTGTCATTTTTCTAGCTCTGTGAATTTATTTATATATAGATTTATTTCTTATTTGTTTGTTGCTGCCGTTATCATATATTTGCAGTCTTGCTTAAATGTATTTATCAAAACTGAGATAAAACCTACCTATATATTAAAATGGTGGGACAATTTATAGCGTATAGCGAAGGTGATTTGAGTTATATTTTTATCTTTAACTTTTAAAGAATAAAAGATTGAAACCGTCAATGGTTAAGATTAGTGTATTTATAAAATCATAGCAACACAATCATCACTTTTTAAGGTGATGCTTAAAGATACTGGACTATGTAGTTTTTATAAAAATGAAATGGAATCATTAGACATATAATCTGGTATGTTCTAGTAACAAACACTTTTATAATAAATATAGCGATTTTAGAATTTTTGCTCAACTGTATAACTTTATGTTTAAAATATAATAATACAATTGCAGTAATGATTCTATTTCTCTTTCTTAAAATATATATGTACAGCTGTAGAGTAAAGGTACATACACCAAATATTGCGAAAGCAAAACACAATTTATGGTTTTGAGAGAGAAAGTTATTTATCCGAATGGTTAATATATATTTCCTTACGACCTGGAATCATTTATGTCATAAGTAAATACATTCTAATCAAATCTTATGTTCGTAAAACCTAAACGAAATCCAGAAGTATGCCAGACATTGTCTTCTCTTTTCATTAAAATAATCTTCCTGTTTTGGATAAAGTATGTATAATAAGACATAACAGAAAAGGTGATTCATTTTCACTTTTGACTTTGCTTATTAAGGTAGGATCTTTTTATGCCTGACGAGTTGCCTATCATGGTTGAGGCATCAGAATTGCTGCCACCGTTTATCCCTGAGTGATCGTAAATAACTGAAGTCTATGTATCTCTTAGCTCCAGCAGGTTTTGATCCATGTAGTTGTTTTAAGTTTGTTACATCCGAGGTTAGCCAATATCATCTTCATGTTTCGGTGTCATATAACATAAACTGGGTTGATGCGCCGTAAAACTAAACAAAGAAATATTAAGGTAGGATACCCGAACTTTAATTCACATTGTTAAGAATCAGACATTTTTTTTATAAAAACAAACTATACCATGTATTTTATGTTTCTAAGATATATTTCTATAATGAAATTACTGTTATATGTATAAACTGCTCGTCATAAAGTTTTGTATGTCTAGTGGGCTTTTAAGCCTAATGGTTCCGAATGACATAAAACTTATTCACTAATTTGTATTAAAATTATAAGATACTAGTGATTTTCCCAGCAATTAGTTAAGGTTTGTAAGATTATTATAAGAAACACTGTTCTAGGCCAATTTATTCTTTTTAAATACGATGTATGGTTACAACAAACGCATCAAAAGGTACGTTTTAATGCGTAGACATTAAATAAAAGATTCGGATAAACATATGCTATACAATTCTAGCAAAAATACGACCGTTTTAATAGAAATTTGATTTTCTTTACAATATAATGCCTTAGCCACATTTTGTCGTAGAACAATCACATGGCAATCACTATAATATAATTGTAAATATCAGGACACTCGATCGTTTTAAAAACTCAAATATTAAAGACAAGAAAACTTTGAAAATGGAGATTCATCTAGAGCAAAATTAAATATAGTAAAAATGAGAAAATTGCAGATCTGATTTGAATAGTTTAATCAATATATTTAATTATTACAGTCAAACATATATACACAATGCAAATACAATCAAATACAAAATATATTTAGCAGAAAGCTTTAAGCATTTTTAGAAACTCTGTGTTTCTTTAATTTAAAAAATGATTTAATTCAGTCTGTTCATGAGAGATGCTATAAAATGCAACATAGCTCACGCCCCCTAGCACCGACTTGAAGGCACACCAACATAGTTATGTCATATGTACAAGGAAAAAGTTATTTTCATGCCTAAACTAGGTTGTTATAATATAGAAGTTTTTTTAACTGATGATTTAATGAAAGGTTTCATTGATTAGTAAAGTCCCGAATGCCCTACATTTTATTTTGTCGACACAAATAACATTTTAAATCAGCTTCCAAACAATAAACACCCCAGTTTTCAATATTACATCATTAACAATTCACAAATTTATACATCACCACTCGTTGTTTTTGTTTATGCACAGGAAGTAATTATGAATAAAAAATGACAGTAACAGAGAAGCTGTCATGTTGATTGAATGATACAAAGACTACCTGAATTCAGAAATAATCATTAACTTAAATGAATCAATTAATATTGTACGGTCTTTTTGTTTCGTTTTTTGTTTCTTTAAGAATATATTATTTTCTAGCGACAGTTTGAGTGATATACTCTTCTTGGGTCAAAAATTCCGTTTCCTTGTGAGCAATGTCTTAAATTAGTCGCCAGTGTCTTGGGTCACCTTTTAGGTTTCGTTTTCTTGTGAGTCATGCATTGTTTAAATACTAATAAGTCATCAGTATCTTTCTTTGCTGTACAGTAACAAATAATATTTGTGTTCTTTATTCAGTACAATTACAAGTACTTTTTTATTTTGAATATATTCAAAGAAAGCATTACAAAAATCATCCTCTCGGGGGATTCACATGAAATAGAAACTTTAAAATACAGCACTACCGATAAAATTTATCTGTTCTGCACAAATACTTAAATCTAATTCATTGATATTTTCTTTAGTTATTTCTGTTTGTTTACGGTCATTTCGTTTTGAATTCGAAAAATTGTACTTTAAAAGTTGAATCGTTCCACAGATAAGAGGTTTGAGGAAAGTTCAATTACGTCATTCATTTTCTGATGTTTCTGCTACGTCATATGTGTACCTATTTCCGAGCGGGTACCTGTTATGACGTCTCACCGTCATCAGAATCTTTGTAAAAAGTAACAAAACACTACATGACGCTAAACACGTCAAGAACATCGATACTTCAATGTTTGATCCAATGTTATAGTTCTTTGCAAACAGTCCAGTTAAAATGTACAAATAGAAGAAATATGGCGCTATAAGATATCGCATAAACTTGTCAAACACGAGCAGATCCAGCCAGAACATTATCAGCACGACAAGTGCGAGTGTTGACGTCGACGCATAAGACACTGCGTCATCTCTTACGTCATACGTGTAGAATATTGACGCAACCGTGTTTTCAAGCATTACTTGACATATAAGCAAGGCGTAACACGCTAGTCCGTTATGGAGGACGATTCTGACATACCAAACGTCTTTCCCAAGTTCCGCCTTCAGCAAATCTTCAAGATGCAATTGTATATGTCTGCATGACCTTGCACAGCCAACAACTAGCAATACAAACACAAACATGCAAGCTACTGAAGAAAATATTATCCGTTTCCGCGTCAATAGCTGCATCCATATTGTTAAGATAATATTAGCCAATGAATATGAAATAAATACGTCATTAGAAATGACGTCATAATCAGAAACGCATCTTCCGCTTTTAGTTCTCCGGCAATCGTTCCCGATGCCGAAAAATATCCATAGAAGCTGCCACGTCCATATTGGTATATAGGCGTAATATGTCCATTCGGCAGGGGAGATGTCTGATGTAAACTCACGGGCAATCAAGTAAATGTCTTGTCCAAATACGCCTGAGAAAGATTAAAAGATAAAACACGTGTTATGAGATAATTAAGAAAAAACGTTATGAGATGAAATATAAAACAGGTTATGAGTTTAAATAAAACACATTTAATGAGATAAGAAAAAATAAAACATATATGAGATTCATTAGGTACATAAGTGTTCTACTATTGATAATTAAATCGTTATATTTGTCCACACGAGCGGGCAGTGTATACCTTCTAAAGAATTCGTACACAAATCTGAAACTTTCTTCCTAAGGAATAAAACCCGAACTAGGTTTAGACAAGCAAATGAATATAACGTCATTGCACATAAACACGAAAAGACTCCAGAAATATGAATATGAAATACGGTAAAAGCGATCCGGGTTTATGTGTTTCTTCAGTTGAAAGTGATCGTATTTTCATTTTAAAAAATAGTAAAGGTATATGTATACGATTTACATTTTTTTATATCAGGACATGATGGGTTTAACAAAGAATGAAAACAGAATGATGCAGAATAATTCTATAAAAGTATCTAAATGAAGGGCAATACATGTACTTACATTAAAAAAAAGAAATTTCAAAGAAGAAATTTCTAAATTTCTCAAATACAAATGTAATTTGAAGAAATGTTAGGTATCAAATTCTTTATGTACTTTAAAAAATTGTTTTATCCGTTTACCATAAGAAAAGATGTCTGCGATATGATTAAAAGCTATTCAATATTCAATTTTTAGTGTTTGAAAATCATTTTTCTCAAGCAAAGATACGATTTTTCCCCACAATAAAACTCATACGCATGTGTCTAAAAAAAGAAAATTTAAAAAAGAAATAATGAATGAAAGAAAGAAAATCACTTACTTGGACTAACTTGACTAAACTGCAAGCTCAGGTATATTAGCGGCAATAGATGAGTCAAAATGGTCAGTAGATTTAAGAAAATGTTGTTGGCAGGCCTCATCTTTGTCCCTTAACTGTTTTCTTTAAACATTTGCGTTCATCAACTCCGACTTCGAAATTCAATAATTAACAAAAAAGCAACACACTTCCTGTGAACTACAGTCACCAAATTGACAGTGTTCATTTTTATTAGAAGTGATTTTTTTTATCAATTTTGTCACATAAAGTGGCCATTGTTTTGTAATAATTAACCTTTTCAATGCATAAATGTCGTGTGAAATCTATAAAAAAAAAGGTATTTTTCCTAATGATGAAATTTATGATTTGTTATGTTGGATAATGAATGGGATAAACTAAAGTCTTTTTCTTGGCAAGGAGTTTTGTCAAAGGGGTTTCGTTTCGCATATGAAAAACGCAATATTGTTCAGTTCAATCAGTATGTCAAATTGATTTAAAGCTATATGACTCTAGATGAACGAAAAAAGTTCAAGAAATTCAAACTTGAGAAAAAAGGACTGAAATTTTAGGAGAAGTAAAATGATTCAAGATAAAAGTCATTATTTCCATGTTATATGAGATTTATGACCGATTTTGCAGTAATTTTTTTACCATATATATATTTTTACTGCGTAACGGGCATTTTTTGCATATTTCAACCTCTTTTTTGGTACTTTCATAAATTGTAAGTGCATTTTTGCATTGTAATAGTTACTTTCTTTGTTCACTTGCAAATATTTTACTTATTAATACATTTTCAAAATTTTCATGAAAATTTGCATTAATGGGGAAATCATAAAGTTAAAACTATAGTGGTTGGGTTTGTTTTGCCTGTATGAAAAAATGTATTTCACTCGTAAATACCAGGTGTTATATTTTCACTCGTTGCCAAACCTTCATGGACACATTGCTCTTGTTTTTCATCTTTTTCTTTTTTTAAATATAACTTTGTAAATAGTTTTTTTCTGTTTTATTTACTTAAATAACTGTGAACTATTTTGTTATGTGTATGGATATCATTAAGTACATGTAGTTGGCCGAAACGACCATGTTAGAAGGGAAGTTATCCCCCTCCATTTTATTTTCCAAAAACACTGCATGTAGTATAGTCAATGCAGTACGGGCAAGGATGAAGTTTCCAATTCTGTTGACATATTTAAATAACCTTTCCTTAATTTAGCTGAAAATAGTTCAATTTAAATCATTTAAGTGTGTTAAAATAATAATATTAGTGACAATAACAAGTTATTAAATTGAAGTGACAGTTTTGTCCGAATTATCTCCCTAGATGACATCAGTTTACAGAAGTGAAAGATTTCATACATTGTTAAACAAATTCTTTGACATTAAAGCTCTGTGAACATTTATCGAAAGTAAATGAGTTGATTTGCAAATATCTGTTATGCAATATGTATCGAAAGAGGTCGACTGATTGTTTATAAAACAAAGGAGGAATTCGATTTAAATGCATTTACTTAATAAAAGCATCTTTTCCATAATTAAAAATATGCTTGATCGTTTGCTACATGTGTATATAGTTTTTCCATGCAGATATATCACGGGATAACATATCAACATAACAACACAGTGTTTATATATCTATTGTATTTTAATAAAAATAAAACATAAACAACATCTGAGAAAGCCAGGATAAACTAATATATATACATGTATATATATGTATGGCACACAAATCCAAATTTAAACAAGATCTCAATTATTAACCTAGTAATCTCCCTTGCACATAGCTCGTTCACAAATCGTACTTTATGGTTTTAACAGTGACCTCCTTAAGGCAATCTAGCGAAATTTTAGTTTTTAGTATTTTAGTGCGAGTAGACCTAAAATGCTCCTTGTGCATAAGCACAAACATATACCAAAGTAGAACAACTGCCCACTCAAGAGAATCGTCTTCAGTGGGATTCGAACAGCTTGTTTTAAAGAAGAAATGTATTCACTTAAAAAGGGGCAACATTGGAAATTAAGGTGAAAGCTGTCTATACAAATATCAAAGTACCTGTTTCAGGCTCTTTCTAAACTTGACGAATATATTCCTAATTAGAATCGGTCCATAAAATGTAGGTCAAAATACACAAACTGTGCATTAACGGGTAACTTCAATAGTGAATGGACAGTCAAGTGATAAACGGACGTCGGCTGTGAAGTGAACACAAATATATTCAGACCTCACCACCAGCCCCTTGTGAGCTCAATGCAGAAAAATGCAAAACTGCAAAATGCTCATAACAATACCCCTTTCCATTTAAAACAAAGTACAAAATTGTATATAGTACTATGCACTACATGTTTACTTTATATCTACTTTACCGAGCGGTGAAAAACAGAGATATATTTTAATAGATCTTTTATGAAACATTCGCGATTTTGTGTGTCAGAAAGCAACTATAACAATCCGAATCAATAAACGCCAAAAAAACTTATCAATTTTACCTACAATACCATTTTAATGGTGTAACATCGAACAGAAAATAATGGAGTGAAATATGTGTATTTTAAGTTCCACACGGTACCTGACCCTGTTAATGAACAAATGAAATCGTTTTAAAAATATAATTTGAACTTATCTAAAATATATAACTGAATTAAATGATAATCTATCGCATAAAAGCAACTAAAAGTATATAATATACGTACCCTATCAAAATTTTCTTTAAAGAAAAGAACAAATTAAAACAACGTGATTCTATATTATATGGTATTTAAATGTCTTTATATAAACTGTTTCAACACATTTTGAACTTTTAGAAAAAAAACAAAAACAATTACACCTGATGTGGATTTTTAAGTCACAAAATACACATGCTTTCTATTTATTAATTCTTGCACCAAAGATTGCCAGGTTTTAAATAACAAACATTTAAACTGAAATAAAACATACATGTTCACTATTATACGCTGGCATGTTAAAATCAAAGCACTTCAATCGCGAAGCATACAAATCTTTATAGTATTCTAATGACACTGTACTATATTGTGTGTATATAATACATCATCCAGTAATGGACCTTGTTCAACACAAACATTGATATAACAATACAAAACGTTTAATTAACGTTGTAATAACGTAAAACGTATAACGTTGAAATTAACGTAAAACGTAATAACATGATACGTGTTGCAATAACGTAAAACGTATAACGTTGTAATCAATGTAAAACGTAATAACATAATACAACACGTGTTGTAATGACGTATAACGTTGTAACAACATATAGTTAAAGGTAGTAATAACGTATAACGTTGTAATAACGTAAAACGTTGTAATAACGTAAAACGTTGTAAGAACGTAAACGATATAATAATGTATAACAATGTTAAATGATATTACAGATAAATCTACCAGATCAGAGATGGTGTCAACAAATAATGAGTTAACAAATGGTAAATTTAACAATGAACTTCAAACGTCAAACAAACCATATCACACCAATTAACAACGTCCATGTCTAAATAACATATTTTTAACATATAATTATCTTGACATATATTTAACATATGTATTATTCGTATGTTTAGAAAGCGTATGTTACAAAGGTATATATAACGATCGGGAAGAAAAGGTAACAAATAGTTTCTAACTGACAATATCACATGTTTATTTATAAACAATATACCATTCATTTTTATAAACTGGCAGATCTATACATGTACACATTTTATGATACACACATTTTCCTTCTTTTTAAACATCTATCCAGCCTCATTATGAAATCGTATTGCTCCAGTTATAAAATTTTAACATCTGTCAAAAAAACCTTTAAAAAAAAACTGTTGCTTTTGTTTCTGTTAATATTTTCTTTACGCTTTTTACAGAAAATTTATGACAAAAGAGGAGTATTCGGACTACGGGCTGCAGCGCACGGATGTGAACTGGCTCGGGCTCTTTTTGATTAAAGCAACGTTCTATAAACTATTTTTGACTCAAATAACCAGAGCTGTACAGATCTGTAACAATCAGAATAGTACACACATGTAGATATTTCCTATATTACCCATATCATACTTTTTACCAATATTCCATATCAACTGACGTCATTTTAATGACGTGTTAAGAGTGGAGAGGAAGACAGCATTATAATAGTTCGGAACGCTGGGAAACAGATATACCGAGTATCTCACTGCTTACACAATATATATTCAACAGACAATAAAGATAAAAAAGAATACCAGTTTATATTGTGGAATGTTTTGTGTGTCCACATACTGTTAAATACATTGCTAACACATTCTGCGCAGTCAGTATCTGATAACCATTCACACTTAACTGGTAAACAATAAATCTACAACAAAATTTTAGTTTACTTTTTTTCATTTATGTTCAAAATAAGCAAGAGGGCTATAATGGCCAAAGATCTGTCACCTGAGATCCATTGCAAAATATCTTATTTCTAGGAACAGTAGTTTCGGAGAAGGATAATTCAAGTATGCTCCTATATAAATCTATGTAAACTAAATAACTCCAAAGAGGGTCCAATTTTTGACCACAGGGGACATAATTTATAAAAAGAAATTTGCAGAGAACCGGAAGTTGATTTAACATGCAAAAATACCTAAGCTCAGGGCATAATAGTTTCTAAGGGTAAGATTTTTACAGCTTTTATTTAGCTCTTTAGACCTATTCATACATCAGATAATCTTTCTTGTGTAGAAGGCAAGCTAAAAACATTTCATGTGAAGTTTGGTCGATATCTGCCACGTGGATAATGAGGAGAAGTTATTTAAATAGTTCGTAGAGAACAAACTTACAACGGGCACCATGCTATCATAAATGCTCGCCTGAGCAATTTATGTTCAGGTGAGCTAAAATACAATAGACATCACAATAGAAATACCAAACAGAAAAAAAACTTGACAAATTCTACACATCAAGACTACAACAAAAAAGAAACCACATGTCTACTACTGTACAATCTCGTTCAATATAATTAAAGAAACAGTTCTAAATGTGTGGGGTCGTTTTTTGTTTTTTTTTAAATATTTTCATTAACATCCTTAATTCAATTTTCCATATTCATTATAATTTTAATATAATTAAACAAAAGAAGTTCGTTTTAGTGTCAAAGGAGTCACGTATTAATGGTCTTCAGTTGCAGCGAACTGTCCCGCAAAAAATGCAACGAAAATTTAGCCATTGCAACAACGAGTAATATTCGTATAAAGTTATGTCAAATTAATGAAATGCCAGAAATAATGGCTCGTATGTAATTACCAAAGTTATAATTAATATGCCGGCAAGATGTGTGCCATTCTTCATTTGGATATCTTATATATATATAAATTGTGTTTTAAAAAACGTACAAAGTTAACGGTCAATTAAATACACAGATAAAATATGCTAAAATGCTAAATATTGCCACATTTGTAAATGTATGATAATGTAAGTAAAATGTAAATTGGCATTATGTTAAACATACAAGTTTTACAGATATAATATCGACGGCGATAGTATAGTTATAGAGATGACATATCGGCAGCGATAGTAAGTTATAGATATCGACGGCGATAGTAAAGTTATAGATATGTCATATCGACGGCGAAAGTTAGCTTTAAAGATGTCATATCGACGGCGATAAGTTATAGAGATGACATATCGACGGTGTTAAGTTATAGAGATGTCAAATCGACGGTGGTATTTAGGAAGAGAGATGTCATATCGACGGCGATACGTTAATAAACAGAGATGACATATCGCAATAATAAAGTATTAGATAAAGATGGCATATAGATTGCGATAGTTAAGTTATAAAGATGTCAATCGTCGGCGATCAGTTTTTGACAGAGGTGAATATCGATGGCGATAGTTAAGTTACAGAGATGCCATATCGACGGCGATAAATTAAAAGACATAGATGGCATATCGGCTGCGAAAGTTAGTTATAGGGATGACATATCGGCGGTGATAAGTTAAAGACAGAGCTGTCACAATGTCGGCGATAAGTTAGTTACAGAGATGGCATATCAATGGGGATAGTTATAGATAGAAATGACATATCAATGGGGATAGTTATAGATAGAAATGACATATCGATGGCTATCGTTAATTAAAAGTGATGGCGACAGTTACTCTGCATTATATACATTGTAACATGTTTAACAGAATAGATATGTGGGACTTTCCAAGGACACGGCTTTAACAGGACAATAAGTGTAGTTTGACTCAACTATATTTTCTTGCTGACTACCACGTTTCTTATGGTGGACCTTAATGTAATTTCTTATTCTAAGATTGGTATGCCTATAATACTAAGTATTGGTACCATATTTCTACAATAAATAATGATTTTATAAGAAAAATATGAAATACTTACAGCTAATATTTAGCCTGATTACAGAACTAGAAAATATAGATGAATACAGTAACAAAAACGTATCAATGCAATTATGAGAAATTAAAAAGGGCACATCAACATATCCTTTCAAAGCACCAGTTTCTACAGTAACCATTTACTTACAAGAAAAAATGTAAGTAAAATAAATTACGTATCTAAAGAAATATGTATAGCATCATGATATACATGTATGTATAGAAACTATTTACAAAATGAAAAAAAATATATTTAACAATGGTACGGTGAATATTTTTCAATAGTTTTTATTAAAAAGCAGACGACACTTCGTCTGCTGAATTTACTGAATTTATCCAATGGACTTGCCCAGCTTTGAATACGGAACAATCCATTCAGATTTTAAGGGATTTCGGTATCAAAATATGAAAATTGATATAACAACAGTATCGAGCCTTGTCAGACTACACGGATGTGTAGGCTGGCCTGATTCTATACTCATGGCAAATGCTTACGACTTACGGTTACAGCAGGTTAAGGATTATACGGTATGGTAATGATTTTGAATACATGGGATCTGCTCCATAGGAGCTTAAAAGTTGCAAAACAAGGTTGTTGACATTATTTACAAACATATGGTAATTTTTTTCAAGTATCGATCTACTTTTATCACAAGATGTTGAATGTTAATTTTCAATTGTTATATAACCAATTACACGTTTTTTCATCTACACTCATATTAAATATAATAATGGCGCTGATAATTTTGTCGTTTAGCCCGATTCTGACTTTAAACATGTATTTAAAAATATTATAGAAAGAACCTTAAATTATTTGTAATTTACTAAAATTGTTATTCTCCCATAAAAAAGTTATAAAGTTCGTCACAATCTCGCCTTTTCAAACTTCCCTTGACTACATTAATATAAGTCTATATTAATCGTCAAATCTTGTGGTAACCTAAGATATCAGTTTTTGATATTAAAAAGTAACACGGTGTTACCATACAAATCTCTCGGTTGTTTTTAACACAAGCCAATGATAATTTAACTTATAAAAAAATGAAAATTATCTCTATAGAACAACTACTAAAAATGTCTGTCGAATTGCTATCTATCAAGTAAGTATGTTTCTTAAAACACAATAAGAACTGAAATAAATGTTACATTGTAACTTCGTTAGATACTATTAATTGCTATTTATAATTGCAGGGGAAATTTAATTTCTCCTTTCAAATATTTTCGTTGACAGAAAACAATAATTGAATACAGTTGTCCAAACAAATACAGTAGCTATACTTATAAACAATTTACAAATACATTCCAAAACAACAACAAAAGAAAGAAAAAACACAAAATAAATTCGAGATTGCAAACCTTTTAACAACATCGGAAGAAACTTAGTTTTAAAACACCATTATTTACCATAGCAATATGTATAATGGAGATTGCTAACCTATGTCAGTTTCTTTCATTGAAAGAACACAATCATAAACCGTCGCTACGATATAACACAAAAATTGCAACCCTTTAGACAAAAGTTGTCCAATCATAGTCCAATGATAGTCAAATATCCACTTACGATCCAATAACAATCTGCACCACGTGCGTTTACCGATTTCACGGTTACGATTAATCTAACGTCAACATAGCATTATACATAACCGTTTAAATTGGCATAGTATAAAGCATTTTTTCTTAAATGTTCTTAAATTTAAGTCCATCTATTTTCCTACTATCAAGATCTTAAAATAAGGTTGTACATTGTAATTGAAAATCTAAAAACTAAGCGCGTGAATCTTACATTCAGTGATGTTATAGATTTATTTTCTTTTAAATCTATTACTCCATCTAATCCGACTTGAGTCCATTCTTTTCCGTTTTATTTCCATCATCATCTTCATCGTCCTCTTTTATACCCTTCAAAGGATAAGCTTCTTCTTCCGGTTCTACATAGTCATCAATCTCTTCTTTAGCCCAGTCCTGAACTTCTCCTACAATGTCCAAATTATTATACATGTTTTTAATTTTTCCTATGCCCTTTACTGTGATAAAATATTTTTTTTTTGTTTTTTTACACCAAATTTTTTTTTTTTATAGATTTTATTTTTATTTTTGGGGTTTTTTTTTGACTTTTAGTTTAGAAAACATTTAAAATTGTTCTAAAACCAAACCCGTCAAAGAAATGTTTTGAAATTTTTGTTTCAAAAAACCCCAAAGGAAGGCCCAATTGGGTTTGTTTGTTACTGTCCAAAATTGTTCTTTCTGCATTGTATAAAAATAAAAAACTATTTTAAATATGGAAGTTTGGGATACAATTTTTATAAAAAGTGGACTTAAATTATGTTTCTGTATGTTTTGGGTTTTTCTGTGTATTTATCAAAAATATTTATTATTATTTTTTTTTCAAAAACGGAAGAAAAATTTTATTTGTTAAAAAATGCAAAAAAAAAACCCTATTTTTTGCTGGAGGGGATAAATTATGCACCTAGCAGTAAGGGCCCCAGCTATATAAAACGCTACCAACCATTCTTCACGAGTTTTCTGTAAGTCAAATAGTTACATATATAAATCCAGGAGTATTTTTTTTTAAAAATATACCAGTCCGACATGAAAATTATTGATACTAAAGAAAAATTTAGTACTTTATAGTATTGAAAAGTAGAGGGTATGAGAAAATCAAAAGAAAAAGGAAAATATGAGCATAACTTTAGAAGTGAAAATGAAATTCTAACAGTTTTAAGCAAACAAGACTTGACATGAATGTGTGTCATAACAAATAAGCAATCTAACTTGGAAAATAATCTAAGCTATGTAAAATAAGTCATTAGAATTTGAAATGAATTTAATGCAAGAATATGTAATCTTTAAAATGTTTTCATCTTTCATCTGGTGAAATCACTGCCAAATAAATGTTATTATCTATTTTCAAACAAGTTTTCATACGACTGCGTAAATTACTGATCTCTATATAAAGAACTGACATTTCAATATGAAATACTTACATTAGGAGTGATCGCACCTACAATATATGGAGCAAGAATACCGGGAACGCTGGCCCCTGTATTTGTAAATCCGAACACAGTTCCTGCATAACGCGGTGCTATGTCACCATGATTTATGAAAAATGAACTAAACTGAAAACCACAGAACGCCATAGACAGTGTAAGGAAAATAACTGCTTCAACTTGATGTTCGCAGTCCATGTAACCGGTGATGACTAAAAATATGCCAGGAATAACTGTGCCTGAAATAAAGTAATGAAATTTTTTTTTATATCATTATACCATATAAAGGCATTTGTTAATCAGTTTTTAAAAAAGTTTCGACAAAGTCAAATGACTTTATTTGGTATGAATATAATCATAAGATATGCAACAATAGTGAAACACCAAAGTGTTATATGACCCATATCAAACTTGGGCTAACATAAATGTATTTCATTGTATTAAGGCATTTTTTTAAAACTTGACTTAAATGAATTCGACGTAAACGTTCTTGCCAAGTTAAAACATTTTATTTCCAAATTTTTGTTACCTAAAGCACAGCATAATTTCCGAGTCCATTCAATGGTCAGAATTTCTTTTGTAATAAGAACATCAGCAATCTGCCCGCCAATTATAGTAAACATCCAAAATACCAAATACGGTATCATAGAAAAGGCACCGTTCTAAAAATAAACAAAATAGATATTTGGAAATATATGACCATTAAAAAAACAAAAACAAAATCTACAAAGAAAATTAAAAAAATATAAAGAAAAACTAAATATCGTCCAGGGAGCGAAATTGGGAGCTGTTGCAGGTTTGATTTGCTGATCTCTTGTTTATGGACAGCAGTTCTTTTTTTAAATAAACATGTACAGTGCAACTTTGGTAAAACGGCCATCTGTAGAGCAATGGTCTCTTTATATATACAGTGTCAATTCTTCCAACAGTAACACTTCACAATACATTTAATCTTTTTATTTACAGTAACAATTATTTATAGTAACAAATCTAAAAAAACAACCGAAATCGTTTGTCTCCTCAAGATTGTTGCTCTGCAGAAGTTTTGCTATGTCACCATGGAAACTCATCAGAATGCAAAACATTAAATGCATGTATTTATATTTTATATTCAAACTTTTCTAACTTTTGAGAATCTTATCATCCGTACAAATGTATTAAAAATAAAAATTGTATTTTAATCAAACCTTTAATGATAAGCTTTCCTGTTCAATAAAAATCTGACATTACACCGCTTCTTACGTTATAGACAAAAATGTACCAAGTAACATGCTGGAATCGAAAGTGATTCACCATCGTCGCAAGTATAGAGGTTAGAGTCATGCAACCTGTACATCCATGGAATAGGACCAGACTCTTTACTGTTGCTGGCTCAATTTTTGTATTTTGAGAATAAAATTCCCTAAATTTCAAAATGGACTTTAAATTCAACAACATGGCAAAATCTATTTACACAAATTTCAAGGTTTAATACAATGTTTTTTACATTATCCGATAAAAAATTCATTATGTTACTATTACAGATTAATATAACTTAAGAACTTCCCTTCATGTAAGTGGGATCTGTGTTAAGCAAACATATACGCTCCATAGTTACCACATGCGTTCAGCCAAAAGATGGCCCAAACTGGCCCCTGATGTAAAGTGGCCCTCCCGGGCTTATCTTGTTTCTAAAATAAGAAAATGGTACTTTATAATTTATGAATAAATAATGAAAATGCATTTCAGTTTAGTAACATTCGTAGTAATTAGTATTTATACTATTAATATCATATTAAGAAACGGCAACAGCATTTCTTTCAATATTTTTTCACACAAAAATAACATTTTATAGGGTGCGTGTTTTGCAGGGGGTGCTACTCTTGAAGTATCAATGACTAGTATATCAAGTAGTTGTTTCCCTTTATAAATAAATTTCAGGAAGGTTGTTGTTTTTGTTGCACAGACAAGCAGACAGATATATTGTAATCACAAATATCCTGTTTACATAACACTACAACAATCGAATGGACACTTTGGAACGAGCACGCGTACATCGTATAAGTATAATATGTTAATAAAGTCACGTAAAATGTCTAGCCTAGGAAAAATAGTCTGGCGTCAAAATCAATAAATAAAATTTGTCTTGGAAGATTGGAGACTGTCGGAGAAAATTCAGAATGGTTATTAGAATAGAGAACTTCTTGACGCAAGAGGACCGCAAAATGACCAATAATCTAATGTCAATTTGAAACACTTATTTTATCTCAGAGAAGCAGATCTGATTTTTATTAACACGCATAAAGTTGTTGACGTCTGTACGCCCCCATACATGTAAATTTAATTGGACACAAAACTGATTCAAATTTTCGTCTGACGCGACGGAAATGGTTGACGGTTTAAAAAAACAACAACAACAGAAAACACTTCACTATCTATTCTGTTGATATTTGCTGAGCATGGGACTAGATTTATGAAATGATTCATGAACAGGTAGGTCACATGGTACACGTTTACAATTAAAGGTAATTGGGCGTAATTGCTTGTTATACCTTTTTTGTAAATTTCACGCTGACAATACACAATTTTCTTCATATTATGTCACATAACATTACATATTTTTTGTAACTTTGAAAACTGCAAGCTATAAAAACGGTATACATGTAGTTTTTTTTGCAAAACGTCAATACAGCATAACAAGTATCGTTTTCAGCATAATATTGATCAATTGTCAATATTGAAAACATTTCAAGGCCAGCGAACATAGCAATATATATATAGTGCGGTTTTATTAAGCATGTCCATGTTTGACAGTGTAAATGCAAGCTACCAGTCCAACAACCCCCTAGCACCGATTTAAACAAAGCATTTTAACATTAAAAGGGTGTTTAATTTATAATTGACAACTCCTAATTTGAATTAGAATTGTCGTCTGTAGATTTCCAAAGTTGAAAATTTTATTTTATGCATCAACTAGTGCATGGCAAAGTCAAACGAGACGGTGCTGGGGTACAGACAGACCTTATACATCTACATATATAATGCTTTTAATAGCATGGTATCCTCACCACCAGTAAAATAAAAGTTACGGATACCTCAATACCATATTCATCTTGTATTAATTTCATTTTAATCTGTCGGTTTTATTTGTTAAAATGTACTCTTTCCCTTCAAAACAGGCAATAAAATTGCGTTCGCCTTCCTAAAACTTAAAACTACCTGGATCTTGTTTATATGGTTTTCGGCCTTGAAAAATAAAATATTGCTTAAACATGCAATTTATTGTATGAACACGCATTTTTTATATTTCATAGGAGAAATTATGCAAAGAGTTTATTGTCCAATTTCGAGACAATTTTTGTCCGGTTACTATGCCCATTAACATGTTATTGCTTTTTTATTGTCACTGATTTTCTATTTTAAGAGTATTGTTTATTTTCTATCACAGACACTGCTGTTCAATGGACATAAAATTATGTACAAAATCACTATTTCTAGCATCTATTTGATGCCAAACTTATAAAAGTCGTGTAACAATGGGGTCTGGGGTTAAAAATACCGCGCAAAGTTAGACTCACAAAATAAATTCCGAAATTTTGTCTCAACACACCCTGGCATATGTACATTATAAATGGATGTTTCATCGAATAATCCATATAATCATATAAATATAAATATGGTTTGTGTGGCCAAGCCATATAACCATTTCGCCAAAACTCTTTCTAACTAAGCTGCATACAGGAAAAGTCATAAGTCTATAGGCTTTGGCATAATGAAATGACCAAATGAGAATGGGATTACGGGATGGAGGAAACATTTGTTAACAAGATAATTATATGACGCATTCAAGAACACAGAACAAATTTATATGCTAAATATCTCTTCTACTGATTTATAGATTGACTGCAAATGGCATTTAAAGTTGAGCACTATTGATTTATATCATTTATTGTTAAGGAGGTCTTTAGAAATAATATATATAACATGAAGTTATGTTATATAAATTAAACAATATATTACAGGGACAGCTTACTGACACATGAGCTTCTTCTAAGTCTTGTTGCAATATAGTCTTAATAATAATATCAAATATGGTCTTAATAATAATATCAAATATGGTCTTAGTAATTATATCAAATATGGTCTTAGTAATTATATCAAATATGGTCTTAGTAGTTATATCAAATATGGTCTTAGTAATAATATCAAATATGGCATTAATACATGTAATTATATCAAAAATGAAATCAAAATGGGATCAACTAGTGCATGCATGTGTACATGTCTTACATAATTCGATTGTTTTAATTTAGACCAACTTTGCATGTTTAACTTTTCTACACAATAAATTGTTACATTTAATTTATGTTACATCCAAGTTGAGTAATGTTTCAACTTAACATCACCATCAATCTGCTACATTATATTAGTATGTAATATAAATCATGGACATTTTAAAACGAAATAACATTCATTTAACGTTCATATAACACAGGTATAACAAAATACAAAAAATACATCTTACGCCCCAATGAATATAAATATTTACTTCGGGCCGACAATGACCTGTATATAGTCTAGAATAATGGATATTTATATTTTTGCCCTAAATCTCGTCTGTTTTAACATTTAAACAATGCGCGTTCTTTGTATCTTAACTTAACAGATACACTTCTGCAACAGGTTAAAATACCCCCACCAAAAAAAAAATGTTTTTTTAGACACGAAAAAAACTTTGGCAAAACTTTATTCGGTGTATCTTTTAACATTTATAACAAACAAAGGTAGGCCAACTGGATTTCCCAATTAAAACTTAAGTAAGTTAAAAAGTTAAAACAAAATACAAACTAAGTTTTTTGGTAGTTACTAGAACTGGAGAAGACATTTTAATATGTCTGAAGAAAGGTTATAACTGTATGAAAAGTTTAAACAGTGAACCTTTATCATAGTTAAAATGACAACTTAATACTGATGCTACTACAAGAATTGAATATCTCTGACCAATGAACTTTTGGCTATCACGTTTTTAAACTTTTCATGACATCGCACAAATTTTAACCCTTAACTAATAGAGATCACTGTAACTTTTGCAAACAGCTTGGTACCAGTCCTGACCAGGAGTTAAATACCAATCGGAACACCACGATAATTATTCGCATTGCTTATCACGAGACTGACGGAAAAAGTCGAACAGTTGCGATTGGTTAAATACGCCAACGTCTTGCCAATGTACCATGCCGATTGACAATCACCCCTTATATTCTTATTTTTTTATTTCGACAAAAATTTGATAAATTTTGAAAAATAATTAAGCAGACGACATTTACATCAGACGACATTTTTTTCGCCAGCATGCAAAACCTTAACAGACCAATGTTTTGTGTCAACTTACTCGCTTTCGAAGTCTTTCCTCGACTGTTTGCCCGTACACACCCAGTGACTGTTCGATGTATTTCCGTTCAATTGGTTTAATTCCTTTCATCTCCCCGGGGCTATCCCGCGCAAAGAACACGTACAGACAACACCATAGCAAACATAGCGTACCTGATGAGGACAGTAATGTATGTATGTAATTACAATACAAAATAAAATAGTGGCGGCATGGCCGAGTGGTTAACACTATAAGGAAGCGCTGGACTGAGGGAGTTGAAACCCTGTCAGGGCCAAGACATTGTGTCCTTAAGCTAGAAACTTTACACTCATTGCTTAGTGCTGGTTGGTTCTAAAAACACATTAGAAAGTGTCTTATTTCGTGTCATCAACGTATGTTCCTATTCAAACGATATCATTAGAGAGAAAACTGTATGAATAGTAAACAATGTATTCTTTTAATTTGACATCGCAGACTTATATTTACATTGCGAACTTATCTTTTTTTTACAATTTGAACATGTTTCAGCTTTATTTAAAACATACACTGCATTTGAAATCTGCTGCATTGTCAATTTGCGAACTATTAGCGTTATTTAAAACATGCATTTATTTGACATCTGCTGCAATATTCACTATATACAAATTGTACATTTTAACCATTAATCTGCAGGATTAGTGTAATGGATTTGCCCTGTTTCGAACTTGGAACAGTCCATTTGAATAATTTATTATCAAAATACACAATCTAAGCAGTATAGAGCCTTGCCAGACAGTACAGGAGTGGAAGCTGGCCTGTCTTTATGATGGTTGAAAATGATAAATATTAATTGAGAGGGATAAAGGGAACCATTAAAAGTCAGCTTTGAGTGATTAAGATTTTGTAATAAAAAAACAGTGATATGCAACTAATAAAATTATCGTTCCTTGTTTTGAAAATGAAGATTATTCAAAATAAAACATGTATGTTACCTGTTACATAAAACACAGACGGCCACCCTCCATCAAAACCATACGCACATAACAGCCCAGCAAATGGGAAGGTCAGGGCGTTTCCTAATTGTGACCCTGAAAGTATAAAAACATTTTTTTAAATATTTTATCAAATTCAGCAGTTTTTACCGGTTTTATTTTCTCGAGATGCAGAAGACGAATTATAGAAATATTTGTTATACAACAAATCTGTCAACCAACTAGGTTTCCTGTCAACATTTGATTAATAAACAGGCTTGTTAATAATGCCAAGTGCATTTTTGTTTCAGTTAGAAGTTTGCAGTTACAAGTTTTTGCTTATATACGCTTCTGTCTTTCGAAAACAACCTTCAATGTTAAAAAAAACAAAGCTATATAGAAAAATGGTTCTGCATATAAGAAAGAATTTTCAGGATATATACATGTAGAATTTGAAGCAGCCGACACTTACTGCCCACTTGAAAGAATTATCAAAATTTAACAAATATGTCCCTTAGATAAAATAAAAATTTGACGATGATTTTCTCCGGTAAATCTTCATTAAATCTGAATTTTGTGTTCTGCTTAAAAACGAGGTTAAGACAAACTTATTATTTTCAAAAAGATAATTTTATCTTTTTCATTGTTATAATATTATATTCGTTATTTCTTTAAAGATTTTAAAAGGGCATGTGCTCTTATAGAGGTCAACAACCGTTGAAAGGTCAATCTGATAAGTCAAATACAGTTCACACAGTCATTCATTAATAAACCATGATTTAGTAGTAAAGACTAGGTCACAACCTATATTCAATGAAATGAAATTGTGTACTTCAAAATAATCTTACCTTTAAGTTTTGTTATATTGTATTTCAGTTCAACATGTCGCTTATATAAGACATGTATTCATAGGTACATTGTTTAATGTATATATTTGATAATGTTAATAAGTGGTTCCGAAATTTTTATGCAAGAATGAATGAATTTATTATTATAAATTCTATGATCAGAAAAGTTATGATGTATAGAAAATAAACAGAATCCTAACATCCGTTTGTTTCTGCATTCTGACATAATGAAATAGCCCAAAAGAAAACTCTAAGAAATAACAACTACATGATGTATTCATATTTCAAATACGACATGTCGCATACCTGTGAAAATATTTTATCTAAAAACGACAATTTAAATAGATAAAATTTAGAACAAAATTGAGAATAATGCATGCTCGGTTTGATTAATCACTGAGCCTTCATACATGTACGTCTCAGTGATAAACGCAAGCAACCCTCCCCCCCCCCCCCCCAGCCTCTAGCACCGGCTCAGGCGAGATTTTACATCGGTGTAAAAAAAACACCACAGTCTTATAAAAAACAAGCAAATTCGTTGAATTTATATCCCCCGCCGAGTACTGGTTATTATTAACACAACAACTGAAGACATAAGGCTATGCAACAGACCGGAACCATTTGATCAACTTTGGCAAGGGACCACCCTAGGATCATTCCTGTAAAGTTTGGTTGCTGTGCAGTCATTTGTTTCTGAGGAGATGTTGTTTAAAGAAATTGCTGACGACGCATGACGACGGACGGTGGGGGATCACAATAGCTCACCTAGATGTAAAAACATCTTAATCTCCAGACTTCATTATTCGTAATTTTAGTGATGTTGATCATTATTCCTGTAAAGTTTGGTTGATTCTAACTCAAGCACTCAAGGATCAAATAACAACATAATGAAACAGTTTTTACTAAGTCAAGGGAAATAACTCTACAAATACTGGATAAATCCACAAGCGAAACCCCAGGAACAAACTAAATATGCTGAGCAACTTTCCAATAAGGTTAAATGACTCTATGTCAAATTCTTTTTGAGTAACATGTGACACAAGTTGAAAATTGCAAAATTTTACTAAGTCAAGGGCAATAACTCTAACATTACTATATAAATCCACACAAAAATACCCACGTGCACAACTACACATGCTGATTAACATTCCTGTAAAGTGTCATGACTTTAGGTCAAATACTTTTTGAGTTACATGTGACACAAGTTGAAAATTGCAAAATTTTACTAAGTCAAGGGCAATAACTCTAAAAAATAGTAAAAATATCCGGACGAAAATACCCAGGTGCACAACTACACATACTGATCAACATTCCTGTAAAGTTTCATGACTCTAGGTCAAACTCTTTTTTTGAGTTACATGCGACACAAGTTGAAAATTACAAAAATTTTACTAAGTCAAGGGCAATAAACTCTAAAAATACTAAAAATATCCAGATGAAAATACCCAGGTACACAACTACACATACTGATCAACATTCCTGTAAAGTTTCATGACTCTAGGTCAAATACTTTTTGAGTTACATGCGACACAAGTTGAAAATTACAAAATTTTACTAAGTCAAGGGCAATAACTCTAAAAATACTAAAAATATCCAGAAGAAAATACCCAGGTGCACAACTTCACATGCTGATGAACATTCCCATAAAGTTTCGTTGAATTCCAGCCATTAGTTGCAGAGAACTACTCCGGAAACGAAATTCGGACGTTTTACTAAGTCAAGGGCAATAACTCTAAAAATACTAAAAATATCCAGACGAAAATACCCAGGTGCACAACTTCACATGCTGATCAACATTCCCATAAAGTTTCGTTGAATTCCAGCCATTAGTTGCAGAGAACTACTCCGGAAACGAAATTCGGACGGACGGATGGACGGACGGACGGACGGAAGGACGGACGGACGGAAGGACGGACGGACGGACGGACGGACAACGCCAAAACTATATCCCCCTCCCGATTCCATCGGCGGGGGATAAAAACATGAAGTACATGCGTGTTCTATTCTTTATTTTTTACTTTTAACTTCAAGTTTTTGCTAATATTCAGAAGGTTATCTCTGCCACTTCACCGCTGCATTAATTTCTAAGGATATGCACTACAGACGCAAATTCCTATTGGTCAGATTATATATGTAACACCACGATATACAATTACCCTTGTCTCCCCCAAGACACAGGGTGTGAAATTGGTTTAAGACAAAGTGCAATGACAAAAAAATAGCAAATTGGCCGGAGACATGAAACGATGACATAAGACAAATTGGTTGGAAACGTAATATATAATGACTAGGGACAAAGCCATTATTTCTCGTTTATGGTACAACCAAGAAAAAATTAACATTAATTGCCTTAAACGCTTTCAGGTGGCCTTAATTAACATCTGTTTGTTAATTTCATCAGTTGACATCATAGATAATTAGCTGTAAACCAGGTGATATAAATAACGAAGTTAATTGACCATAATCGCGTACAAAGTTTTTTTATATTTGTCAAAATCTCGGTAAAAATAGGTCATCATAAGATGGAACATCTCGGCTATTATTCAAAATAATTCCGAGGTTTGACGGAAAGGGCCGAGAGTTGCGGCTCATTTATGCAAATCTATCTTGTAACATACTTCACGGACTAACTGTGTCTGCATTAAAATATATATTTTTGTCTCGTTTGTCTTGCAGATCTGGGATAAATATGGGACAAATGGTTGCAAAGTTGTTGAAAATGGAAATATTTCATAATGATGCAAACCACACATTTGTTATATTTTAATTAAGAACCATTAATGCACTGATAACATTTTAGGAATCTCTGTGGTGCATGTTGACATTACGAGAGGATCAAATAAACAATAGCAACAACATATAATTAATCCATTTCATCCCCAGAAATATATATATATTATGGTAAAATTGTGGTTTTTGACATGATATGTAAGGTACCACAAGTAGCATACTAATTATATTGCAATGAAATATTCTTTCAAAGATACGGAATTTAACGAAAGCCAAAAGAGTTCTTCGTGACTATCACGAAAACCACACTAACTCTGACCGCTTCAGCTTACATTAAGAAATGAAAGAAGAAAAGATTAAGGAACACCTTCACGTTGATCATGCGCTAGATACAATTAAAATTGATGAATGATTTACATTTGCTGCATTACTTTTTTCTTTCGGATGATGGTCGTGATACATTTACATGACGTCATATACAACATGATGCGAGATATTAGTAATCCTAAAGTTTCATGTTGTTCAATTGTTCATCAATCATTCATAATCAAAAGCAATCAATGGAAACAAGTCCCACAAAGGAATGAGCAAGACTGCACATTTTCATTTTTCATACTGCTCAGTTTCCAAATACTAAAACCATTATTTTCAAAATGCTATCCCACTATCAAATTCCCAAAACATTGACATCGTTCCAAGTCAACAATTACCGATGTAAACGTAACAATCAATAAACTAATAACAACAGTTGACAGAAACAAGCCCGACAATTATTATGCGTATCACTGATTTTACAACCGAACACCACTTCAATCAAATGTTGGTAAATTTGCAGGATTCATGAGATTATCAGATGACATTGATCGGGCATTGTCCAATAATAATTTACTAGATGTCTTGACAGTATTATAGTATATTGTTGCTTTTTCGTTGTTGTTGTTTTGTTTTTTTTGTTGTTGTTTTTTCTGCACTTAATTTACTCATTTTAGTATAATTGCGACATAATGCTCCAGAAACAAATAAATTTTACCTACTTCAGACTGGGAAAACATTAGTTTCATTAATAATGTTCAAATAATGGTTTTAAGAGTGTGTTAAGTGCTTATAATTTGAAGAAAATAGCGATGAATGTGAAGTATTTGTCATGAAAGTAGCAAAATGTAAACAATTTAGTATTTTGACTTCCTCATAAGGTACTCAATCACTGTGTCTGTACTAATTGCCAAAAAACAACAGAAGCAAAAGATGTAGCAGGTAAATGACCAATGAGTAACATTTTTGGAAACTATAACATGACACATAAAATAAAGAGACTTGAGGAAATAATAATACATGCTTTTCTGGGACATAATGGGCCTTTAACCTAATGTTAAGCTGTACCGTTAACTTCCTGAACTCGCAGAAAGTTAGATTAATATAAGGGAAACGTGGTCGTAGCAAAATCCTATAGTAAACCTCTAGTCTATAATCGATCAGTCGATTCTCATTTCCAAGTAACTTCAACATAATTACGGAAGTTCAAATGAGCCGTGTCACGACAAAACCAACATAATGGGTTTGCGACCAGCATGGATCCAGACCAGCCTGCGCATCCGCGCAGTCTGCTCAGGATCCATGCTGTTCGCTATCAGTTTCTCTACTTGTTATAGGGTTTGTAAGCGAACAGCATGGATCCATGCTGGTCGCAAACGCATTATGTTGGTTTTGTCATGACACGGCTCATATGTTAAGAGATTAAAAGGAAACAAACGAAATCCTATAAAAAGTGAAAGTGGATAAATCGTTTAACAAGAATAAACAGCAAATACCATGCATGTACGATCATTTAATTCTAAAATTCCCCCGCAATCACCACGCATTTAATTTCCTTATCTGTTGAAGAATAAGTTTAAAAGTTAATTCGGTTTCGCTATGTATCTATAGAAAATGAATATAAAAAAATATGATTTGATCATTGTTGCATCAACTGCCATATATGAGTCAGTAGACCAGTAACCGAAAGTGATTAGCCTTTGGCACTAGTATAGAGACAGACCAGCCTGCCAACCCGTGCAGTTTGACCAAGTTTTATCTTGCTGGCAGCTAATATTTTGTAATTTGTTACTGAAATCCTTTCCAATTCAAATGAACTGTAAAAAATTCAGCAGGTAAGTTCAAACTTGATAAATCATCTCCGAGTATGTATGTATGAGCCGTGCCATGACAAAACCAACATAATGGGTTTGCGACCAGCATGGATCCAGACCAGCCTGCGCATCCGCGCAGTCTGATCAGGATCCATGCTGTTCGCTTACAAACCCTATAGCAAGTAGAGAAACTGATAGCGAACAGCATGGATCCTGATCAGACTGCGCGGATGCGCAGGCTGGTCTGGATCAATGCTGGTCGCAAACCCATTATGTTGGTTTTGTCATGTATTCTAGGCTTAATGAGAGTCCATCCAAGTACTATTTTAAATGATTAAAAACAAATACCGTACCATCTTTAACTTTCTCATTTGTGTTCATAGTTTCGATATGATGTTTTTACATTAAACCAACAATTAATGTTACCTACATGTATATTGTTATATCCGAAAAAAAATCTTAAAGTATATACGTCAGAAAAAGCTAATTTGACTATTGAAGATATGATGTTTTCCGTTTTTCTGTATGACAGTCATCATAGTTACTTATTCTATTTCCGGTGTGAATAATGCGTCAGGAATTGTATTCATGTTCCTTGTTTGCAAAAAAAAAAGAAATAGGAAGTATTGAACACAACAAGCCTACTCATTAATATGGGAAAAAATCTCACGTCTGGAAGAATAAAGAAATACGGCCTTGGTAAACCAAATAAGTAACAATGACAGTGAAATAAACATAATTTTCTCAAAATATAACCCGAGATTCTGTCCGCAATTTTAGCAGAAAATAAACATGACTAAATAGAGGGTATGCGACTAGGAACTGTAAATATTAACCAAAGAACAAAATGATTATGTTTGTATTGTCTTTAAACAATAAAACCAAATCAATAAATGTAGTTTTGCTTCATACAATCAGTAGACGCATGTGTTTTTTTTGTACTTGGCACTAATTATATTGTTATATAATTTATTAATTATGTCGGCATTATGGAAAACTAAGATTATTTAGCTAAGAGTTATTGACACACATGTAATTTATGTTTATGATGACGTGTGAATTATTTTTACATTAAAAATAAACTTTTCAATACAGTTCTAGTATTAGACTTTCACCTAATATTTCATCAATTGTGTTTATTTTAATGTAGATAATTACTTAAAAAAATAGCAAAAGCACCGTGTTAAACAAGTCCACTTCCTGTTATCGCAAGAAAGGTTCAAGTTTAAATATGTAGGTTCCAAAGAAAGGTACAGTGATCGGAAGAAATGGTAAAAAACAATCTGATTAAAATCATCTCTAAATAACGCTCCGCTTTTAGATCTGACCGTGACCAAATACGAAGTCATTTCTGGTGACCATTCACACAGCCAATCAGAAGGCGAAACATAAACGGTCGTCATCAGATCTTCATAAAAAGAAATAAGTATATCTGAACTTTAGTCAGATTGTGGTACAAATAGAATTCAAAAGGGAACAGTGACTAGTATTTTTTCTGGTAACCAAATATACCAAAGTCCCTCTGCTAATAAAGTAAGCTCGAAACTATCATTACACGTAAATATGAAATTGACAGACATACAAATAATTGTAATGTTGAGGCTTTTTTAAATAAAAGAAACACTAAGTTTTTCACCTCCAAATGCGAATCCGACAAGTCTACTTCGTTCATGAGGTGGAGCCCACTTTGCCCACAGTGACTGCATACCTGGGTACATCATTGCCTGTGAAAAAAAGAATCACTTGTCACCATAAAAACTCACTTTTATAATAACTAATTTACTTCAAATTTGTGGATGCATTTCCGCTTCTCAGACATAGTTTAAATCTAAAATATATTTGAATTAAAAGTATTATTTAATGTTAAACGGTTTTCATTGCCATCAAAATAAACGTTTTCAGCTGATCTTATCGCCTTTTATATAATACAACGAAACTGTGTATTAAACTATACAAACAATGTATAAAATATTATTTAAAATGACATTATGCTCATACAAGGGTATTTGGTGAGTGTACAGATGGAAGTTAAATAAGTTTACATTTTGCCACGATTCCTTCCAATTTCATAGTCTACTTCGCATGATAAATAACTCATATGACCCACTGAAATTTCTGTAAATATCCCTCTGAATTTACCTGTAACTTTCAATTTGTGGCGGCCTTTTTATATATTGTATCCTAAATATTTTCCAATAATCACCATTGTAATATTGTTAACAGTTAATCGTTTGACATATATAGTTAATTCAAATAAAATGAGCATAATGTCACTTTAAAAAGGGATTCTACCCATGTGATCAGTGCAGACCAAAATCGGACAAACACATGTGTGCCAACTGATCATGGTCGTGGTCTGCACTTTTTGCTTTACTTTGAAGTTTCCCCCAAAAGAATGAATGGTTAAGTCCATATTAAAAGATGGACAAGCCCATTTCAGAAATTTAGTACGGTAAAGGTTAATATACCTCTCCTACACCTATGAACACTCTTCCAACAAGCAAAAGATATGGACTTCCTCTTGCCAACCATGGTGACAATATGGTCAAAATAGCAACAGGGAACATCCCACATGCCACGGTAATCCTTGGTCCGAATCTGTCGCTAAGAAATCCCGAAGGGATTTGCATGGCGGTGTAACCCCAGAAAAACGCTCCTAGAATAAGTCCCTGAAGTCCTTTCGACCATGCAAATTCTGCATTTAGATCTTTCGATTCAGTTAACAGTTTGCAAACAAGTACATCCGGATCTGCTGTAGTTGATACCGTTGGAACTGTGACGCTTATAACAGTTCCGTTAGTTAACGTAGTATTAACGTATGTGAACGCTGGCGTTTGTGTTGTTGTTGTTGTATTGCTAGACGCGTCGTCTGTTGCTTTGTTCATGCAGACGATAGCTGTACTGAGATTGACACGTACGGAGTACAGGAAGAAGAAACCGATAAAGCATGTCAACGACAGCAACAAACGTTTTGAAGTCCACCATGGTACTGTTAAATAAAATATAGATCTAATAAATGTATATTCTTATTTTGTAAATAAAGTCGCGTGCTCCTACTTATTCACTGAAAAAATAATAATTACATTTTGGAAAGCTTTTAAATATTCAAAATTTTGACAAATTCCTCTAATTAATTGAATTTACTATTTAAAAATTTAATAAAGTAGTTAAGGATGAAATAATATCAAGAAATGTCTAAAAATAAAACCTGAGCTACATGCACATCATATTATCACATAAGCTATATTTTAATCAATATCAGTTATCTTAAAATTTCACTTAAACTTTATGAAGTCATGTAAGAAAATTAAAAAATATCTTAAATGTTTTAACGATTTATAGAAAACACAGTCGCATAAATTTGTTTTCATATATAACTATATGAGGATTGATATTTTTACTTAACAATCTTGATATCTAAGAAAAATGACCCTGCCAATCAATAAGTAAACACACATGAAACAAGAAACATCATCAATGTCTTAAAAGATGAAAAAAGCTTCAAACACAAGTTTAAGAACAAGCACTATATAATCACAACAACATGAAAAAAGACCAAAAACTCTGCGACAGCGTGAAATCACACCAATTACGATTACTCCCCTTAGAAAACTATCGCCATTTGCAATTTCTAAGCGCTGCAAGTTTGTGTTAACATAAATCAAGAAAGTTTGCGAGTAAGAACGTTGAATATTAGAATATTACATTCTCTATGTTACAGTTTATGAGGCCGAGCTGCAAAAAGTAAGTTAAAGATGGCTTAATTTGCATCAGCTAAGAAAATTTTTAGATCCCATCAAAAGTAATCGGTTTTCGCTACTTTCGTTTGAGGAGATTTTGAATTACGCTTACAATGACGTCATCAGAACGTATTGCCAAAACACATTTTTTTCCATTTTATATAGCACTTTTACCTACATGTTTGAAAATCAAAGTACATCCTTATATTATTTAAAAATTAAATATTATTAGACATGAAACAGCAGCTGCAAAAAAAAATCTAAGTCTATTTGAAGTCATTTAGAGTTAGCAAGAACTTACAGCCAGTACCGTTTTCTATATCCGAGTTAAAATCTTCCGAAAACGAGCAGCTTCTTTTAAATCTTAACACATCCATTTATGCATTTTAATAGTATTATCTCATGTACACTTCTATCCTAAATTATCAAAAAACAAAAATTAATTGGCCATGCATTAATTTTCCTTACAATGACTATATATTCTATTTAAAAAAATAAAAGCACACTAAATTTAGATCTACATACGCTATATTACTGATTTTAACAATGCATTTCATACTGTGTGCATACTATCTTTTTAAAAGACTTCACATTAAATACAAATGTAATATTATATAAGGAAGTGCTGTATAAAAGCCCAACTAAGCGAATCACTATTTGTCCAATATGCATTTAACTTCTTGTATCGGTTTTAAAAACGTTTTTTTTATATAAAACATGAAAATAAAATTTAGATTTACTGTTTATTCACTCCTTTGATTTATATATTGTATTGAAAAATTAAATAAAACACATTGCCCAGTAAGGAAGTAAAATTTTCATTATATTTTTATGTACATGTATTCATGTCCCATACCTTCAGTTTATGAAGTCAAATACTATAAGATTTACTTAGATCTAAATATCCAAATTTAGCATCAAAAATAGCATTTTTTTCAAAGATATTAGTATAATAGCATTAAAGAATTATCGTTAGGAAAAAGATATGTTCATTAAATGAGCAATTTTAAAAACAATCGAAGAAGCTCCCCAGAAAGTAGCGGCTTTGTTTGGATATTTTGATAACAAACAATTTTCATAACCAAATTTAATAACCGAATTTAATTACCGGTACAGAAATGTAGAAAGCAAATACATCTAGTTACTGCGTGGAAAAAAAACGAAAAAAATAATAAATGGAAGAAAAGCATTAACAGCACAACAGAAATATAGTCATAATAGAGACATTACATTCCTTGTCCATGGCAACTGTAAATGCAGAAAACATTATTGAATATTATTAATATAAAATGGTGTACCCAAAGCCAAAACTAAGTAATCAAACACATAATATAAATGATACAATCTATTATATGTAAAACATTTTTTCCTGCTTATATTGTTTTAACAATAAAAGCTGTTAACTTCCAAATAACTGCATAGACATTTTGGTGTTTAATTCAGTACCTTCTGACTGGGTAATCAGTATTAGTTCAACATGCTCATTTGGAAGAATAGAACCATCTTCCGCCTTATTTTCGGTCCGATTGTTATTTTCACACACTCCAGTCATTCTCTATAACTTGTTTAAATGACCTTCATCTATAATGCTCTCTTAAACCTGACCTTAACAGTTAGTCTGTGACCGAGTGGTTAAGTTCACTGACTGTACATTGCTTGCCACATACCGTTTAAGGTTCGAACCGCGCCAGTGAGCATGTGAGGAAGCTTACCAGTAAGCTGAAACCTACAGAGTGGTTCTAATCAGGTTCCCGCTCATTCATGAAATGACACGCCGAAGGATGCGTGCTTGATGTCCTCCCCCGCAAGTTAAGCTGGAAAGTCCCTTATGACATTTACAATAATTAGTATGACTTTAAGCCCAACAAAAATAGAAACGACCCTAACTTTGCATTACAGCATATTTTCGGTCTTTATTCAATACGTTACACATTCTTTTTATTATGTTGGGTCGATACAACCATGTTATCTTACCGACAAGGAACATATTTCTCGTAGTTTTGTTGATTCAACAATGCAATCAAATTTCATTTGTCATGACAAGATTTTTTCTTTGTTTTTGGTACAACTATGACATGTTCTATTGACACGGAAGAAGATTTCCATGTTGTGTCGATTATATGCACCACTGTAATCCTCTTGCTCTCTTAAAATAGCAATGGTTTCCCCTTGTTCTGTTAATGCGACACATTAATCATCCCTCCTTCTGTTTCTGCATTTTCCTTTTGACACTGCAATGTTCCCCCTAGTTCTGTTGATGCGACAGTTTACATTTTGCTTTATACATGAAACAACAGTCATCCCTCCTTCTCTTTCTACATCAATGCTTTCGTCTTCTTCTTTCGACACAGCAATGTTAACTATCAGCCCTTGCAGTGTCTGACTTTCTTCTTCTATTGATGCGACACTATTATCTTCACGTTCTTTTGACATTACAATGTCTCACATTGATGTGCCGAAACCATTCTAGACCACGTGATCTTTTAGCTTTCCGAAGTACGATAGAAAGGGCCGGACGAGACGTAATCGGCGAGAGGTGTTCCGAATGATGTGCAAGCACAGGGTTCGATTGCCGGACGGTTCATATCATTTTCGTTGTACTTGATCATAAAATCCTTTCTACAGTCATTCGCACTGTACCTCTGCTCTGTCATGTGCAGAAGTTAACAGAAAGTGTAGGCAAAAAAGTACTGGTAAACTGCTTGACAGCCTGTCCAGGAAGGATGCGGTGGCTAAACTGCTCTGGTATATTCAGTTAGGTTTATTGCCGTGATCTGGTGTGAAAACTACCAACACCACCAAAAAGGATAGTTGTATCATTTGTGTACTTGTGTCCGTATGAACTTCATATAGGACAAGGCCAAGATTTTGTACAGAAGAGAGCATTACATTATGAAGGTCATTTAAACAGGTCATCGGTCAAAACAAGATAATTTATTAAAGGATGTTGTTTTCATCAGCTGTAAGTTAAAACATCGTAAAACAAATGTTTCCACATATACCTAATCTTTTTCCTCACATATTATCCACTTAAGATTGCTGCATTATATCAAAACTTTATTTAAATTTTCATCAAAAGCTGTCTGGTTGCATTTATGTGCTGTATTTGCCGAACTTTATACACACATTCAATTGCTTTTTTTCGCAAAATTAGTATACAAATATAAAAGTTTAAGTTATATTTAAAGTATTTCACGGTTCGGTAAACATATTAATTTAACAAGGTTTGAATACTGCAGACTTAATGATGATGCATATTCAACAAATGCAAATTAAGATGTTTGTTAGATAAGTAGTAATTTAAAATGAGTTTTAGTAATATTTTTTAACTGCAACAAATTTTAATTTGAAATCAACGTTGCACTACATGGCACGTAACACGCAATTTACCTTGTTTTACATAATATGTAAATAATGCGACATACAAATAAAATAATAACAAAATACAAAAAAAAATCAGTTTACTTTTTTAGCTGCATGCCTCCAGATGGGCCAATAAATTTCAAGAAAATGAAACTTTTTTAAAAGATTTTAATTAAAGTAAAAAGATTTAAGATTCAAGTACATGTAATTATTTACAAGTTATAAATGACCAATTTTGCAGTATTTTTCACCATATTTATTCTGCCTTCCTGACACAGTAAGGGCTATTTTTGCACATTTTGACCTCTTTGTGGTAATTTACTTGGATTGTATGTGCCGCTTGCAATGTGTAAATTAAGAACTTTGTTCATTCACAAGTAAATAACATTTAAATACTTTTCCAAAATGTTCATGAAAGATAACCATGAAAATGAATCTGGAGGCGTGCTGCTTTAAAAGTTAGAAATTGGGTAAAACAGCAATAACTTATTATATGTCAGGGACATAACCCTGTTCTTATAACTGTTAAATGAATTCCTTACTCTCTAGGTATTTTTCTCTGGATTAAAACATGATACATGTATTTTCTGTAAACAAATAATGATATCTGCATACAGTCAAACCCCTGCGAAGACCACTCCATAGAAATGATTAAAAGGCAGTTACTAGGCTGCTTCGCCTCTCTGTTAAAATAAGATAATGAATGCTATAATTGTTGCAAATTATAGGAATAGGTGGATCCATGCTCCTTACAAGTTTTATGATAACAGATCTATGTGGGGTTTTTGGAGACTGTCTTGTGCACGGGTTCGACTGTATAATATCTTTTAATTAAAGCACTCAATAACCCTCAGGCCTACCCTTATTAATACGTCTGCATTACCTTGATCGAGGTCCACATCTTCCGCGGTCGGCTTTTCTAAAAACATAGGGAGAGAGTCGGCATGACCAAGACTCAAACTCGGTCGGCGGGAGTAACTTGATATAGAGTCCGACCTCCCTCTCGATCCACTACTCATGCTGCTAATTGTTCTAATTCTCCGAGCGGAGCCTGTGCTACTCTGTCTTTGTAATTCTTTATTTCCACTGGCTTTAACGCGGTCTAGAGGTGTTTTGACGCTCGCTATTGGAGGCTCGGTGGTTTGAACTTTCTTCTCCTCGCCATCAGGCGTTCCTTTCGGAGACACTTGCGGTGATTCCGACATCTTTTTTACCTGCAATGAATTTAATATCAATTATTATATTCTCCGATTTCTATACGCATGCGTGTTGCACACGTGACATTTCTAGTTAGACTTTTCAGCACGTGGTCGATCCAGGTGACATGACTTACAATTATTTTGGCATAAAAACATTTAAATTGCCAAGACTTGCGTATTAGTCTGAGAGATAAATACATACAGGTAATTGACATTAGAGGAAATATCTAAAAGCTTGCTACCATTATAAATCAATATTAAATATGTCCAAAGCCAAATGCAGGAGAAATAAAAATTGCTACTTTTGCAATTAAAATGCCTCCGAAAACTCAAGCAAATTTTATTTTTATTATCATTCATCGTAATTACCACAAAAGTTATGTTCAGATATTAAGGAAAACTGATTACAACAATAAGTGCGTTCTTGTAAAATAATTCAGTTCGAGTTTAAATGCTACAGTAGGCTAGAAATCTACGTCATCAACATTATCTCAAAAGCAAATGTGAAATCTTAATAATGTACAAAACGTTAAAGGTCTATGTATTATATTGTATAAGATCCAGCTATAACGCAAAAATGTACCTATTTCCATTTTAATTATGCTAACAGAAAAAGAATCGATCAAATATGTTGAACTATAGTCAAAGATTTAAGCAGAGACGTTCATTGACGTCATTTAATTTATTGACGTCACATTTGATGTCATTAGGCGCGTTAATATTCCTTCCACTGAAGTAAACGGGTCATTTTCATTGGTTAAAAATATCCGTCGCGGAACGGTTTATACCGCACTGAAGTAAACGGATCACTTTCATCGGTTAAAAATATCCGTCGCGGAACGGTCCATAATCCGTGCATAATATTAAAATTATAAGGCATTCACATATAGCGTGAATGTGATATAACCTACTAACCTAGTAGATCTGAGACTTAATTAATAATTAATGCTAACAGAACAGAACAGAACTTTATTATTTGTATAATTATAGTACATCATCATAAACAAAATAATTTTCAATAACAGATTCTAACATTTCAGTGCAATTATTATAAAGAGATCAATAATAAATAGTAGACATGAAGTTGTTTCAGGTCTCTTTCTTCTATTGTATCATAGTTTGGGGACCTTTCTGTTGAAAATGTGTCAGAGTTAAATCGTATACATATACATACACAGTGCGTTAACTTGAGTGCAGGTATTAGTTACCCGCACTCCAGAGCATGCCCATTGATTGGCTCATTTTTGCTGGGGTTTACTTATTGTGACGGCAGAGAAAGGGAAAGCGACAGAAATATCACATTCAGATGCTCGTTCATTGGTTACTTTTTCCCGGCGTTTCATATTGTGACAACAGGGAACGTGTTTTTATGTTTGACTATGATACAAAAGAGAAAGAACACCAAAAACACTCGGCAATCTGATTAATACTCGGGGGCTATGCCCCCTCGTACAAATCAGATAGCCTCGTGTTTCGGTGCTCTTTCTATAACTTATTCGAAACGTTTGACATAACTCTTTATGTATATGTCTACCGTTAATTTAATCAAAGGTCCAAGTCCCATGGTAACCCAGGCTTTTTCGCGGTATCGGTTAAATATTAAACAATGATTTAAAAAGAATTCACAATAAAAAATATCGCTGCATTTTACATGCATTCGGTTTCCTGCGCCGATGAAGTATTTTAAAAGATTATGTTGTTCTCAACGTTTTACCTCATAAATATCAATCTTAAGTTAAACCGAACATAACTCATTGCAGTATACAATGAAAGGCTGTAAAGCTATTTCTAAATACATGATAACATAAATTTTATATTGTTAATACATCAAAAAGCTTTTATCGTGCCCTTTGAAAATATATTTGGCTTTAATTAAATGATCCCTAAGATAAACCATTCATTTAAAATGAAAAACAGTTGTGCAAATCCAATTCAAACAGTTGACGCATACGGTTTGGCTAAGGTAGACTAGTGCACGATATTCATTTGCCATTTTAGCTGACTTTATATTTTATAACATTTACAACAGGTTCTTACAACACATTTTCACTTCAACTACATGTACTTTTGTATATTTGCACATATTGTTTTACAAGTAAGTGATTAAGTAGGCCTACTATTGTAAACTATGAACTAGAAAAATTTGTTTTGGTTTTGGTTTTGTTTTGTTTTGTTTCGTTTTTCTTGTTTTTTGTTGTTTATTCTTATTGGTTGAGTCAGATACTTATAATACAGATATGTGGTTAGGTTTTTGTTTGTTTGTCGGTTTGTTTGTCTTGTGTTATTGTTTTGTTCTTGTTGTTGTTTTATTATTATTATTGTTGTTGTTGTTGTTGTTGCTTTTTTTGTGTTGCTATTTTTAAACGATGCAAACGTTGTCTACTTGGCAAATAGTGTATGACAAGGAAGCTGTACTTCCATGACGTCATCCTCTTTATTATTTTATTATGAACTATATGAAAATGCAATATGATTTGTATTATCAAAACATATTTAAAAGCTGTTTAGTCTACAAGCATCAGACTTAAACCCCGACTTCTAAAATTATTTTACATCAAATCCGAAAATTCATGCAAAATTGTTTTGGTCAATGAACGCACAAACATTTTTACCATGACACTCTGTCTTAAGGCTTTAATCACTTGAAGTTTATTAATATGACAAGACATATATCTTTACATAAAAGTTGAATTTTGGACAGCAAGGACAATTAAAGCAAAATAATTTGATAGATATAGTAACAAGTGACCGACTGTGGCCGGTCAGCCATCACTGGTCATATAAGGTCATATCTTCATGTAGATTTTTCAACGTATACGACTAGTAAATACACCATCTACCGCTTCCATAACAAGAAAATGCCATTCTATAGGTTGTCAAAATCTTGGCTCTAAAATATTAATTGCGAGAATAGATATGGCAGTTCACAATTGCACCCTTTAACAATATATATAAAATATGTATACATGTCCACGTATACGTTATTCAAGCAAATACTCTGTTAAGTAATAACCTAATGTTTAACGTTCATCGACTATGTCAGACAAACTAATGTGTCCAAAGTCATTCCATACTGCATAAGCATATCTCCTTAGAGTCATCAAAACAATTCAACGTGGTTCCATGTCAATCCGACGTCAACATATTAAGCATTTACGATAAAACGTTACTAACATTGATATACGGCAGTTCATTTGACTGGTCAACTATGGCACGCCACCGGTGTCACGATTGGTCACAATCATTTAACCTGTCGAATGATTAGACCATATCCGTCATATCCGGTTGCAAGCTATTGCACCGAACAAACGTCCTTAAAGCAACTCCACTCAGGCCTAAAAGTCTGAACACATAAAAAATGAATTTCTAACATATACCCGGTAACAGACATGACACTTAAAACAGAAGGATATGCACGAGACAGTAAAGAAATCTGCACAGAAATATTTTAAGCTATTCTTTCAGCCCGATTTGAGTGATGCAATTAGTTGTCATTTTTCACGATCAGAATAATTAAATTATTATAAAAGAATGAAGTGAGCGAATGATTTAAATTTTTTTATTCAATTTATTTGTCTTGACCTACTTCAAATCTCGAAAAAATAGTTCCACTCCTGTCATGTCAAAAGACCTCAGTGTTGCCACTTTTAAGAACAGTCAAAGTTACAGATATACATTTTGTACATACATACATGTACCTAACATATACTAGTAACCTCATTTGTGACTGCTAAATATGATAAAACGAAACTACATAAAACACACATATAAAGTAATGTCAAATCAAACATATTGTATCATAGGTTTTGAAAGCGAAAATATTGCATACAATATAGAAATTGATATATTCGACCATGAACTGTTGTATTTACTTTGCAATAAACGCACCTTAGCTGTGTGAAAATGTTATTTAATGGTATTCATATTACCGTAATCACCATGTCTAACCGATTACATTGAATCAAAGAATCTAGGAAACTTGCATCAGAAGAATAAGTTTTGAAGACTTGTTTGAAAGCACAGGGGCTTCCGTTTTCGAGTGGTTAAGGTCGCTTTCTTCAAAACATTTGACCTCACCACTATAGGTTAGAATCCCGCCAAGGACTCTGAATTCTTTCGTGTAAGGAAGTTATTAGGAGTTCAGTGGTTCTACTCAGGTGTCCGGTCGTGCCTGAAATAATGCGAGAAGAGACATCTAAGGTCCTTCTCCACCTATAAAGCTGTCGTCGTATTATCTTTAAGTTAACATATCATTAGTCATTACTAGTCTAGACTTAAGCTTACGCACATTGCTGTAACAATGTTATAAATACTTTCATAAAATAACAGCTCTTGAGTGTAACAACTCATACACATATTATTGGTTTTTGTTTAATCATAAATGTCATAATTCATTTGCAAAACTTGGATTAATACTCGTGCTTGGTAGCAATTCAGTAAATAAATACCTGTGCGTGCGCGTTTAGAAACAGTTGTAACGTTACAAGGTCCAACGATAGTAAACATTTGCATATCCTTAATTTACCTTAAATCGTCCTAATGTTGACATTCTCACGAACAATTATGCAATGTTATTTAAATAATGATCTTGCCAGTCCGATCAATGATATTGTATTTCTTACGAATGAACTTGCCATTCCAACGAATGATTTTCAATTATTCGAATAAACTTCCTGTTCTAACGAATGATCTTGTCATTTACCATATGATCTAACTATATTGCCGTATGGTTTTACTACTGATATTGTCATGAATGATGATTTCAACATGTTCTTACTATTCTTACTTACTATTCCAGCAATGATGGTAACATTATAACAAAGATCTAGCCATTCTAACGAATGAGCTTGCCATTCCAGCAATGATCCGATCATTCTAACAATTATCTACCCATTCTTACGAATGATTTTGCCATTCTATCAATGATCCTGTAATTCTAACAAAGATCTAGCCATTCTTACGAATGGCCTTGTCATTTCAGCAATGATCCTGTCATTCTAACAATGTAACAATGA